GTGCTTATTCCTTCTCCACTAAACTCTTCTCTCCTCTCTCTCTCCTTTCCAGATGTGCTTCCAGAAGAGTCAGATGGAGAAGGAGGTGGAGGAGCAGAAACAGAAATTGCTGAGGTCAGAGCAGAGCCTTCAGGCCAGCCAGACCAAAGAGCAGGATCTCCGCAAGAAAATGGAGGTGGGTTGCTTATAGTACTTACTGTAAAGGCCATTGCACACCGAGTCCGTATTTTACGTCCAAATTGTTGCATGTTGAAAAATAAATACCACCTCATGTTTACACACTGACTTTTCAGAACAGGTTCTATTTTGATTTTTTGCAATTTTTCACACCAGTCGTGTGAGAAAAGCACACAGACAGAGAGGGGGGACAGCTCAGCAGTGTGTGAAATGTCCACTTTTCTTCCTCCCTTCAGGAGCTGCAGAAAGAGAAGAACTGTGCGACTGTTCAGTTGGACCAGAGCAGCAGACGTCTGAGTCAGCTGGAGGAAGAGAAGAAAAGCACAGACCAGAGCCTCAAACGCACCCAGGGATTACTAGATGACCTCAAAGGTAAATTAGTAGAAGAAATAGTAATGGCAAACAGTAGTTTCAGAGACTTATTTATCTTAGTTTTTAATGTTTTTTTAAGTGCTTGTGTTTTTTATCTTTAGCAAAATCAGAAGGGCAGGCGGAGGAGTTGAAGAGACTTCAGTCTAAACTGGAGCAGGAGACTCAGGCTTCGGCTCGGGAGCTGGAAAACTTGAAGAAGACACTTTCTGATGCAGAGACCAAAAATGACAGGTAAACATAGTTTTACTGTGGAAAAGAAAGAATAAAGTCATTTCACACTTTGTGAAAGAGCATACTATATCTATGATATTTAACTTTCTCTTCAATGATTTCAGATCTCAGAATGAACTGCAGAAACAGAAGCAAGAGGCAGAGAAGCTGACCAACAGGTTGACAGTCCTGGAGAAGGAGAGCCAAGAGCTGAAATCCAGTCTCACTGTCAGTCAGAATGAGTGTAAGGAACTGAAACAAGAACATCAACATCTGCTGGAGTGGAAGAAAGAAAAGGAGACCTTGATTAATGATACAGAGACTGTCCAAAAAGACCTCACTGACAAAATTGGCAGCTTGGAGAACAGTCTCACCTCGCTGAATGAAGCTACCGAGGAAGTTAAGGTAAGGTGCACTGGTTCCTAATATATTCACTAAAATGATAGATTAGGTCAAATATACAACACAGATGATCCATATTGATAAACCTGCATATTTAGCACACAGACACACACGGTGAAAGAATTGTTTGTTTAGCTGATTATCCCAGAACCTGTTCGATTTGGGGTTGGCTTTGAGTTCACTAGTAAGTTACTTTAAATTATAAAGTTTAAAAGACCCCAATAACACAGGAAGTCATGACAATAATTGGTTTCTTCAGGAAACCTCTACAAACATGTTGACATCTGCCATCTAGGATCAGAATAAGAAATGTGACATGATCGGTAAGCTTTAAGTAGTTTTACCTTCACCGTCAATACATTTCTACTCACTATTGCAGAAGCAGCTCATGAGTGTAGAAGGAGACAAGGCCAGTCTCTCTGCTCACATCGATTCCTTGAAGGGAGAACTCCTCAACAAGAGCACAGAGTTGGAGGAGAGGGAGCATCAGTACGAGGAGCTCAAGTCCAAGTTCTCCGAAGCCGGACTGAAGCACACCAAAGACCTGGAGAATGTTGCTGTGCAAGTTGGTCAGCTTGAAGCACAGGTGATTTATTGGATTGTTGTTTGTGGGGTTTTTGTGTGTGTGTGTGTGTGTGTGTACATTTTACAGTAAATTGCATGGTCCCAGGGTACAAACAGTTTAATAGTCTCCAGGTCTACAAGTTTCATAAGCAAACAAAATGAGCTTGTTTCTAAAAATTGTTCTTGACTAAATATGACACAATTGGAGGTTTCCACTGAACATGGATGTTGCGTAACGTCTACCATGTGTTAGCAATGAGTACTAAATGTTGAATGTGGTAACTGAAAAACATGGCATTCATCCTTTATGTTTTAATGTTTTTTTTTGGTTCTTGGTAACAGTGCAGGATACTCAATAACATTTAAAAATCTGACTGGACCAAAATAATCAATGGCCAGTGATTAAACTTATTCCTGGTTACTCTATTATCTGTACAGGTCAAAGATCTGGAGTTGCAGTTGCAAAAGGAAACGACTCGAGCAGAGCAGGCTGAGAGGACCAACACAGAGCTCCAGGAGGAGCACCAGGCGGTCTGCGACCTTGCTCGTTCCAAAGACCAGCTGGTAGAGTTGGGTCAAGCAGAGATCAGCCAGCTGAGAGAAAGCCTCACTCAGGCCACTGCACAGCTGGAGGAACAAAGTGTCAGGTGGGAGTTTCATTTGTATTGTCGTCATAATATCGTATGAACCGCCCAGTGATAAATCCTGTTTTGTAAAGTTTCTTATTTGTTGAGACTGTCTGAGAGTTGTTAATTATACCCGTGCTTCACTGTGCAACCTGAGATCTCAGGGCTTATAGATAAGTATGATATTAATACTGTGTCCTCTTTGTTTACTTGGAGAAACAATAAATGTATCTTGCCTTTAACATGCATGTTTTCTCTCTTTGGTTTCTAGGCTGGCACAGGAGAAGACAGCCCTTCTGAAGCAGTGTGAGGAGAGTGTTTCAGAAAAGGTTGAAGAGACTGAGCAACTCAAGCTGCAGTTGGAGGAGGCTCAGCATGAGCTGCTGCTCACCAAAAACAAGGTTTGTGTGACTGGAATGCAACATTAACTATTTATTGGTTTTTTTTTGTTTGTTTTTTAACAGATTATTGATTCATTATTTTTATTTATTTGACAGTAAATCTTATTTACACACACATCATTTCTTTTGGACTTAATTCAATCTTGTGGACATGTTTGAGGTTATATTTAGGGATGTTGTAATGGATTGTAATATATTACAAGGTACATGGTACAAAAAACAATCTTTGCTATCATACATTTAATATTCACCCAACTTTAATGTCCGGCATGAGCATTATTCAGTTTCTAGTTTCAGTGGCAAGCTCACTCTATTGACCTTTTAAATGTTACTTCCTGTCAGTCCCTATGATTTTTTTTATAATAATGTTATAGTTTAATCTTCTGTTCATGTTTCAGGTCAGCTCCACAGATCAGTTCCTGAAGGTCCAGGAGCAATTGGGCGCTGAGCTGCAGAAACAAATTAAGGCACTGTCAGAAAATGAAGAGGAACACAAAAAGATGAATGAGAAAAAGTCAGAAGAGGTCAAACAGTTAGAGGAGGAGCTGAAGGATCTGCAAAGCCACACAGAAGAGAAGCAGAAGCAGTTCAGAGAGGCTGAAGCTCAGATTTTGTCTCTTGAGAAACAATATGCTGATGTGGAAAATGCAGCTCAAGAGGCAAAGAAAGAGGCTGAGGTAAAATTTGCACTTTTGTTTAGTTAGTTCGACATATATTTCTAATATCATGAGCTGTACCTTTTTAGAAATAATAAACTTGTATGTAATTCTTTTAAAGAACCTCCAGCAGGCTCAGACTGAGAAGATCAACAACCTTCTGAAGCAGATATCTTCCTTAGAAGAAGAGTTAACTGTGAGCAAAGATGCAGCAGAGAAGCTTCCAGTCTTGAAGAATGAACTGGACGCAGTCAACCAGTCCCACGCTGACCTTAAGAAGTGTCTAGAAGCCCTTGAGATGAGTCACTCCTCCACTATTGAACACAAGTCCAACTTGGAAAACACGCTGATCGAGAAAACCAACCTGATCTTTACTTTGGAGAAAGAAGTCAAAGAGCTCACAGAGAAGATGACCAAAGAGTCAGAGAGTCACGCTTTGGAGATTGAAAATGTCCTTAACAAAGAGAACCGCCTTAAAGAACAGCTTGAAGCCGCTAAGCAATCATTAACAGCCGCTAAAGTAGAAGCGAGGTCTCGACGAGAGGAGATCAAGACCATGAAGACGACTCTGTCTGCTGCTTCACGTGGCTTAGAAGAGAGAGACAACACGATAAAGAGTCTGAAGGAGAAGCTGAATAAAGCAGAGGCAGAGCAGGCCAAAGCCTCAGAGCTCCTGAAGGAGAAAATGGTTGCCATGAACAAAATCAAGGTTGGTTACTAATTTATTCTTAGTAATGTTTCGGGCCTTACATGTCTACAATCTTCTTACATAGAATGGAAACGGTGTCATTGTTTTTAATAATAAACTTTGTTCATTTAATTTTTCCCATTCAGGTGCAGCTGGAGATGCTGCAAATGGACTTGGAGGACAACGAGACAGCCATGAACTCTTTTGATAGTCAGGTGGAGGAACTGAAGGGAACCATAGAGTCACTGGAAGCCCAGCTGGCTCAGAACCAGACCCAGATGTCTGAAATGGAGGCCAGACTGGAGGACAGCAAAGCCCAGGTAAAACCACTATCTTACACCAAAATAATTTTACCTAGTGTGGAGATTAATTAAAGAAAGATTTAATTAAGAAATTAAAAAAAACAGCTTCTGTTGCTCTTTAAGGAAAGGAAACAACCTTAATTTGATTACATTTTATTGCTAACCCTTCCAGGTTTCGGTCTTGGAAACCCGGCTAGAGGAGGTCCAATCTCAGAACTCTGTGCTGGAGACACAGTACGTCACAGCAAGGGAGGAGTTGATGGAGAGGAGCTGTGAAATAACTCGTCTTGAAGAGGATGTTGTCAAACGAAGCCAGCTGGAGGAGAGCGTTGCTGCGTTAGAGTCTAAACTCAGTCAGACCACAGAACAAAATGTCAAGTTAGAGGCAACTCTTAGGCAGACAATTGAGGACAAAGACAATAATCTTAAACACTTACTACAGGAGAAAACCAACCTTGAGGCTATTTTGAAACAATTAACAGATGTCAAAGAGCAAGTTGAAACTGAAATGATTCAAGTAAATGCCGAGAAGGAGCAGCTAGTTGAAGAGAACAAACAACTGCAGATCAATATTAAGCAGCTAACTGAAGAAAAACAAAAGATTGATCAAATGGTTGTAGAGAAACAAGAAGCTGAATTTACCCTCAGACAGGTGATTGAGGAGAAAGCCCAACTAGATGTTACCCTCAATCTAATAAATGAGGAAAAACTCCAACTTGAGGCTAAACTAAGTGAGCTCACCACAGAGAAAAACATCAACTTGAATCAAGTAGTTGAAGAGAAGCTTCAGCTGGAAATTAACTGTAACCAGCTGACTGAAGAGAACACAAAACTACAATGTAGTGTGAATCAAATAACTGAAGAGAAGCTGCAGTTACAAGAAAGCATAAAGAGGCATGAAAATGAGGTAGCGTTACTTAAAGAGGAGAATGAGTGCATCCAGTGCTCGCTCCTGTCCTCAGAGCAGGAGCACCAGAGGCTGAAGGAGCAGTTTGAGATGAGCAACATAAGGACTGAGGAGGAGAACAAGGAGAGGTACAGTCCATTTCTATCTGCTTTTACATTTTTTTTATTCTTTTAAATGCTTTGTGAAACATTTTTGTATTATTAATGGGACTTTTATGTTGTATCACAGGAGGCAACAGTTTGAGTCGGAGCAGGCAGAACTGAATCAGAAGTTGTCCAGCTTACAGAAGGAGCTGACTGTGTTGAAGCAGCAGTACATCTCACTGCTGGAGAAGGTGGGCGAACAATACAGCCTCATACAGCAGCTCTCGGGCTCACAGGAAAGCCAGAACCCAGGAGAAAAGATCAGCTGTATGCAGTCTGAGGAGACAGAAACTGTTGGTGAGTGTTAATCCAAAAACACTGCTTCTGCTTTAGTTTGAATACATACATTGATATTTAACCGTCTACAACCGTTTCCTCAGCAGAAGAAGCAGCAGAACGGACTGATGTGGAGCTGACACTTGATACAAGCGTCAGCACCGATACACAGTCCCTTCTAGTAAAGGAACAGCTGGTTTCTGAGCTGGGCGAACTCTCCCACCAGTCTGATGAGGCTTTCAGGTACATAATTTACATACAATACACAATATATATTCATGTTAGTGCATGATAAATAAATCTAATCTCCCTCAATCCTGGTAGTGAGACAAGGCTGGTCCTCACTGAGGACATCATTGAGCAGGAGATGATCCAGGAACAATTGGACGAAGAGAGCGAGGCGTGTGTGATCGCCGTAGAGGAAATGAGTAACGAGGAGCAGCAGCACCATCAACAGCAACCCTTAGATCAGGTAGATAATAATTATTACAATGTGTATTTGTCCTTCAGTCATGATGCGGTCATGGGTTTAGCATGAAGAAAGAATATGATTATGACATTTATGCTCTCTGCACCTCAACTTGTTCACAACTGTATGGGTAGATAAAATATATTTTTCTGTATACATAAGCATTATAAAAATATAAACAGAATGACCATGGGTGTCTGTCTGACATTTCACGTTGTCTTTTTTTTTTTTTTTTGCAGCTTCTCGAAGACAGCAGTAGTCCCAGAGATGTTCTTGAAAATAAACCTGAAGTCTATGAGCTTTCTTCCCCATCTTCCTCTCTTAGTGGCAAGTTAGAATCCTCTGGTGGGTAATTAAATGGTGCTTATGATGCAGTTCCAATTACTGAGTGTTTTCTTGCAGTATTTACTTTGTTCCACAATGAGTTCCCACTTTAAATTTGTGATTTCAACATCTTCTGCAAAAATATACCAATATATGCATTGCACCCTATTATAGACTTCCAGGGACTTAGATTTGACACTTGCTAAATGAGATGCTTTATGATTCAAATTATGAATTATTGCTTTAAATCTGTTTGAATGATGTTTAAATAACCTGTATATATTCATTCTGTCTAACAGCAACAGAGTCATCCCAGGCACATGATGACCTCAACCACTACAAGGAAATTATCACAAAACAAGAAAATGAACTCCAGACCCTGCGCTCGGAGTTTGACCTACTGAAGTCTGACCTCGCACTGAGAGTGGAGTTGACCTCTGAACTGGAAGTTCAAGTTCAAAGCTTGGAGAAGAAAGTTCATGCAGCAGAAGAGGAGGTGCGTGGGGCAGGATGTAAGCTGAACATCACTTCAGAGGAGAAGAAAGGCCTTGCTGACCAGGTAGGAGGAAGAAATTGTAGAATACCAAATCCCATTTGAGTAATAAATGCCATTTTTTATACTACCACATAAATATAACTGACACTAGTATTGTGTGCTCGTTTTTAGCTGGCTCAGCTGTCAGACGAGAGGGAGACATTAACTCTGCAGCTGCAAACGACTAAATGCCAGCTGGCTGATGTGATGGAGATGCTGGAAGGACTGGAGATGGCCAAAGGTAAACAGCAAGCCACAGCACAACTTCTGAAGGAAAACACAGGCTTTAAAGTCTGGCCTATGTTGATATTGATGTGATATTTTGGTTCTGTAGGTGGATGGGACGAGAAATTCCTCCAGCAGGAGAGCGAGCTGAAAAGAGTTCGCTCTGAGAAAGCCAACCTGGAGCAGCACATCCTGGGCATGGAGTCAGAGCTGGAGACCTTGCAGGAGGAGAGGACCAAACTTACGGCTGAGATGGAGACCCAGAGGAGGACTTGTTCAGGCATGGAGCAGCAGATAGAAACACTCAGAACAGAGGTGAGCACTCCATCAAAATCATGGGAGCTGAAACATCAAAGTTGTGTGTGTGTGTGTGTGTGTGGGCTGAATTAAAGTTTATGTACTGGAGCATTATGTAGACTAAAGCATTTCAGCAAGACTTTATTGAACATGAATCTAACTAATCAATCGGTGTGGCATAATTATTTTAAATATCACTATTTTTCCAGACAACCCAGCTGAGATCTGAACTTGTGTCCTGTACGGAGGAGCGAGATGACCTGAACCTGTCTTTGGGCCAATGGAGAGAGAAAGTTCACAGTCTGGAGAAGACTAACTGTGACACCAGAAACCTAATTTCCATCCTGGAGGACGACATCAGAGCAGGGAGGAAGGAGTATGAAGCCTTGCAAAGCAACATGGAGAAACTGAAAAGAGAGAGACAACAGGTATGTACATGGAAAATTCAAGAGTCTAGCTCCTGCGCACAGATCTTTGTGTAAAACACTTGATGCAGGTAAAGAGAGGCTTGTAGTTACAATTAGATTAAATTGATAGCATAAAGAAATGTCCACGAGTCTGTTGCCTTGTTAGGGTTTCAACTCATTCATTCCCTTTTCCTCCATTGAAGCTGTTGGAGCAGATTAAGGCGCTGGAGCAGGAAATATCCCAACAGAGTGGAGAAAGAGAGGAGCTTATTGGACAGCTTGACAAGATCACAGAAGACCAAACCTCGGCCAATGAGAACACTGAGTCCATGGTTGGCAAGATACAGGTGAGGGGGTTGTAACTTGTTGAGGTTGGGTTTCCTTAAAGAACCTGATTTCACAATGCTGGTTCTTTGTCTTGTTTGTTAAAACAAGAAAGTGTATTGTTCAGATGCACTTTAGGTTTAATAGTTGTGTAGCAATAACAAGATTCACAAGCATACTGTGTGTTTGTGATGAATGATATAGAAACACTTTTAACTTCTATCAAAGATTCTTCAGGGGAATAAAAAATTGAATTATAATTTTTTTTTACTTTTTACTCAAGTCTTTAGAGGGAGAAGTGTGCCGTCTCTCACAGTCTCTAGAGGCCTCTCTATTGGAAAAGGGAGAGATCGCCTCTCGTCTGAACTCCACACAGGAGGAGGTCCAGCAGATGAGGACTGGTATTGAAAAGCTCCAGGTCCGCATTGAGTCAGATGAGAGGAAGAAAAAGAAGATGGGAGAGCTGCTTAAAGGTGACTCTTAACATCCTTTGAAATTACATAACCTCTTGAGTTTTGTGAGTTGGTGTTGGCCTAAATTGTGACTCTTCACGTCTTTAGCTGCTCAGAGAAAGTCTGACTCACTGCAAGATCGCATTGATGCCCTGGAGCGAGAGCAGGAAGATGTAGAACAAAGTCTAGAGGAAGCTGTACTGCAGGTATTCTGTTGTAAACATGTTTGTCTCTGTCACAAAATTTAAAACTCTGCTTACAGCGAGACGGCTATGTTTTCTGTTTTGTTTTTTACTACTGCAACTTATTTTTTCCTGATTTAAATGTATTAAATATGAATGTTTTATGCTCTTCTACAGGCTGAAACAGCTAAAGCTGAGCTGGAGGAGGAACGGGGAAAGGTATCTTCATAATATTCTGTGTTTAGATACGTGACACCATCTGCTATGTGCTTGTGATGTTTTTTCCTATTTTCTAATTATAAACCATGACATAGGGTAATATATTAATCAGATTTCTCCTCTCTTTTTTCTCTTTCTTTTCTCAGGTGGAGGAGGAAAAGAGAGAGCTCAACGACAAACTATCAGAGCTTTCCACTACACTGGACAACCTGAGATCTGAGAAAGAACGCATGGAGAGAGAGCTGGAAACAAAAAGCAGAGAGATAGAAGAACTGAAGGCTGCTAAGGAGGAGCTGGAGAGAGGGTTGGAGCAGGCAGAGGTGAATAGAAGAGAGGAAGAGGAAAGACAGAAAAACAGGGTAGAAGAGCTGGAGAAAGGCATGAGAGAGGAAGCAGAGAGGCAATCAAGACAAGTGTATGAGCTCCAGGCGCAGCTGGAAGCCTCTCGCCAGAGAGAGTCCTCCCTCGAAGGAAAGAGTGCAGAAACTGAAGGGGACAAAGAGAGGATGCAGTGTCTGCTTTCAGAGATCGAGAAAGAGAAAACGTGTCTGCAGTCTTCTCTGGAGGAGTGGAAGACAGAAGGAGAGATGCTCCGCTCTCAGGCAGTGGAGTGGGAGAAAGAGAGAAACAATCTGAGGACCAGTATTGAGGCTTTGGAAGAAGAAATTAAGGAGCTGAATACACTCCTAAAATCTAAAGAGGAAGAAAGAGAGAGAGGACAGACAGAAGAAAATGGACGGCTGGCAGAGGAGAAGGAGAAACTGCACTCCACCCTGGTTTCAGTGGAACAAGAGAGAGATCACCTGCACTGCACTCTTGCATCTGTAGAAGGAGAGAAAGATAGACTAGAGCAAGAGAGGGGGGTGTTAGCTGACGAGAAAGAGAAGCTTCAATCCAGCCTCTCCTTGATAGAAAAGGAGAAACATTACATGCAACAAACTCTCTCCTCATTAAAGCAAGAGAAGGAAAGAATAGAGGAGGAGAAACAAAAGTTAGAGGCTGAAAAACAAGAATTGCTGTCTTCCCTGTCGTTGATTGAAGTAGAGAAAAATAACCTGTCTTCAGCTCTTTCGTCACTGGAACAAGAGAGGCAAAGAGCAGGAGAGGAAAAAGAGAAACTCACAGAAGAACAAGAAAGACTTGAGTCTACAGCCGCCTCTATGGAGAAGGAGTTGGAGACATACAAACTGTCTGTCAGCAAGCTCAATGAGAAGGTACACACACAGTTTACTTTTACTTTTATTTGTGTCGCCTTCAATCCTATAACAAAAGTTTGAATCCAACAATTTCTTTGCCAGAATTAGTCACTTCAGTACATGCACTGTTCAACACAACAGGTTCAAAATGTCAGTGCAGCAGTATGTTTCCACAAGCTGTTGTGTAAATCATTCAATCAGGAAAGTTAAAATTATATTAAGTTTTATTTCCACTAAGTCTTATCGCTTCCTGTCCAACTGTTTCAGGAGTCGGAGCTCACATCTCTCGCCGCTCGTCTGACTAAAGAGAGGGACTCTGCCCTGAGCAAGATGAGTCTGTGGATGAAGACCTGCAAGCAGCTGGAGCAGGAGAAGAAAGAGGTGTTAAACAGCTCAGGTGTGAACATTTTTACATTTAAGTGATTTTGTGTTTTAAAAGCCTGTGTAAGTAATCAGAACCGACTAGAATTCTCAGTTTGTGTTTTTGAATAAATCCACATTTATCCATATCTAGACCTTGAGATACTTGAAGTCAGTTTACCAAAATGACTTGAATAATATAAAGCATATCAACATTTCTCATAAAGTGGACGCATGTAGAACAAAGAGTCATTGGAAAGAAGCTGTAAACAGTAAGACTGGTTAATCTGCAGAGGCAATGCACTGTATCATTTCCATTTAGGGTCACAAACTGCGCTGTACTATGAAAACATTGCTATTAAATCTCTCGAAAGTGCAGCTGAATGATTTTATTAATTTTTGTTACAGGCGACAGACAGAGCAATGAGGAGGTGCAGACTGAGATGAACCAGCTGAAGATGGAGGCAGAGGACAGAAAGAAGGAAGTGGAAGACCTGAAGACTGCCCTGCAGCAGAAGAAGACAGAGGCAGAAGAAAAAACTAAGGAGTTGGAAGAACTCAAGGCTGCCCTCGATGGAAGGAAGAAGGAACTGGAAGAGAGAAACCGAGAGCTGGAGGAGATGAAGAGTGAGTTGGATGAACTAAACAAACTTCTGGAGGAGAAAAGCCGTGAGGCAGATGAGAGCATGGATAAATACTGCAGCCTGATGGTTAAAGTCCACAAACTGGAAGAGACCAATGATGCACTGACAACACGGCTGGAGCAGCCCACTGCTAGCCAACATCCTGGCGAAGCTATCGTCCACTCCAGCAGCACTGATGGTACTCGCCGCCGGCGCTCAACGAGGAAGTCTTCCTCCAAACATCTGGAAGAAAAGCTGAATGACGCCACAGAGAACGTAGCTCCTTCGACACCTCAGAGGTCCCCTCAGGGGTCATCTTTAGGGAAACGGGCTCTCAATGATATCGGTGATAAAGACAGTGCCCAGGTGGCCCTGCACAACCTGACAAAGAGGATCAAAGCCAGCACAGTGACTACTCCCAGACCAAGACCTGAACAGGAAGATGAGGACTTCAGACCAGAGGGACTTCCTGAGCTGGTGCAGAGAGGTACGCGTTGGGTGGTGATCTGATGTAGACACAACTCCTCTGTTACAAGTTAACCAACATCTGGTAAAGGGCACCTATGGTTTGTTTTCTGTGCCGTACTCTAATGTGAGGTCTTTAGACAATAGACACACTTCATTTCTACAGACCTCAGTGAGATTTAGACACCGCTGTAACATTAACTGGTGGAATATTAGTCGGCGGAACAAACCTCATTATGAGTTTCATCATTTGTGCTTTCACAGGGTTTGGTGATATTCCTGAGGGGGTGGACAGTCCGTTCATCATGAGGAGAACCACAGTGAAGCGCTGCAGTCCTCGGCTGGCTGCCAAACAGACTGTTCCCACATCTGCACCTGACGGCAAGGTGAGCAGCTACAAACACACACACAC